GCAGGAACTTGGGGAGGGAACTAGCGGTAGTGTGAAGACTCCCCTCTTCCCAAGCCGAACTGCGCCTGAAACTGATATCATCCGAACAAATCGGTGACTGCGAGCGTTCATTATGCATGTTGTTTGAAGCAAACCTTTATTATTCATTTATTGCTCAGCATAAAAGGATCTGATCACATTTAGAGTCTAGTCGATGTTGATTAGCAGATACCCCTGCCCATTCTCGAGGTTTTCGGATGATATCTGAAAATTAACAAAATCTTCATGTGACGCTGATGCAGTCACCATTTATCTGCGCCATGGCTGAGTACATATTCGACGAAAAATGGAAGTAAACTTAACAACAAGAGTGGGAGACGCTAGGACCATAGCAAAACAAAAAAAAACAAGGGAAAACGACTAATAAGAGAATGATTGTCGATGGGGACTCTAGAAAATGATTATTACACTAGGCGTGGGATACGGTAGCGCGGAAGTCGTGTAATGACAACTAGCCGTTACTACTGTCCGCGCTTGCATAGCTCGTTATGCAGGGCATCCAAAGCGCAGCATAGTGAGCCGATCAGCAGAGTATTTTCTAGCTAGTTGCCTTGGCACTACTATGCTGCTACGATGAGTTAATGTGGTCCTCGCACGGATGCAACACAAAAGCCACTCTCAGCGCTTACTGTTTTGCAGAAGTTGTCAGGGTGATGTGAGCTACATTCGCCGCAGGACCCAATCCACTCAACGTGGCAGCGTCGCGGCGCGCCTAATCTCTCTGTGTCTTTTGCGTCAGCTAGCTAGGAAATGATCTGTTAGAGCGTGCCACGCCTCAGAAGTACTTATATAGATTCCGATGCATCCAGTCTAGCTCTTTCAGTGTGCAGGCGCTTCCTCCATACTGGAGTGCTTGAAATCGGAACACTGTAAATGCTATTACCTTTTACTGCATCTCCTCCATAGGTTGGGATTGCTCCACCACATCTCCCTGAAAAGTTGTCTTGGATATTACTGAAGTATTGACGGCGGGTATTTTCGCTCACCTGCATCCCGTCCGAATTTTCCATCATCTTCTTAATGTCACGAGGATTGAAACGTTGGTTCTAAATGCAAAAATTTCATTCATCAGCCAAGAGAACAATCGTTAGAGAAAACGTTGCAAATGGGGAAAAGAAGGCCGAAATGTTGATATTTAAAGACTTCGCGATCATACTTCGCGATTTACTCGCTCGACTGCACTTAACCGCGAATCGTAGCTAATAGACTGCTGCAACGGTCGCAAAGGGTTTTTTCCTGAGTGAAATGTAACCGATTTCGCAGCTAATCGTCGCACTGCGGCAAACTAGTTGCCGCAGTGCGACGATTAGCTGCTGGTTAGCAGGTGCACTCTTCTGAATCGCTCAACTAAATGATTTGAGTCCATCCATCGACCCCTGCCTCATATTCTAAAGCTGTCCAAAACGGCTACTGACACGGCTCTACATATTAAAAGCTACAAACTAGCTAGTTGGCGGGCGAGTTGTGTATCCATTATTTTGTGAAAACTCTGAAAGCATTGGGCTATCAGGAGAGCGTTTACGAGCGATTCCGTAAGTGCAACATGAACTGGGGTTTGAGGGCAGTGTTGCACCAAGCAATTCGTAGGTTTCTTCCTAGCTTGGGTGTCTGGTCTTTGCAGTTATAGGAGTTGTCTCACTTGAGTAACAAAGCGGCTGCGGATGCTTTGTAAAATAACAGTTCCGAAGCGCTCGTCGTTGTCTATGCCACTTATTCTCGTTAGCTATTCTCTGCCAAAAGTTCGGTGATTCCCGCGGAGCGAGATATCTAATTAGTTGAAACAGACATGCAGAAAGCGCTTAACATTTATACGTTCAGAGAAAATCTAGAAAGGGTTGACCTAATGACCTTACTGAAAATTCAGGACTCCTGAACATTGCAGCTTAGTGAACTCTCTCCTCGGTTGTATTTGGTTCACCGAAATCGTGTTTTTTTAGTAACCGTAATTTGCTCGTTCTATGACTCGAAGTTTATCGCTTGCATTGTCAGTGCACCTACGAGTGCATGGTATTCAAATAAAATTAAATACTAGCGTTTGGATGACGCGAAGCAGGGCTGGGTAGAGATATGGGCTTTCCGCTTCGCATAAAAGAAGCAGATCTGAAGAGCTCGTACAGTGAAGCTACCACGGACCCTCACTTGGGGCAATCTCCGCAACTTCTGACCCCGGTTCACGATACTACGGCTTTGCTCCCACCTCGAGCTGCTCTTTGAACCACAGTCTCTTCTAGCACTAGCGGTGAGGTTTGCACAAGCACCTGCTTCTGGGGTTATTGATGTGCCCATTTTTCTGGCGTAAGATGGGGTCATGTGGATAGACGTGCACGTTGCATACAGAATGTTCACTTGATTTTGCGTGCTCGCGTATCGAGTGGTTGCTGCGCTCCACTTTCCGCGAATTAAAACAGATTCACGTTTGAATGGCTTCAGCTTGAGGGCTTTTGTGCTTTCTTCTAACCCAGCTTTTTGCGATACGATGCGATGAAAAGGCGGATTTGCCATAGCGAGGAAGCAACAAAGGATGCATTAGTCGAGGCGGCAGAGTGGCAACAATAAGAACCACAGGGGTGAGGAACGCTGCCCTGACAGTTGTCAACTTGTTTATTTGGCTATAGGTATCGAGTATTAAGTAGTGATCAGCTAACTTTAAAAATCGTTCATATCCTTCAGAGGCTAACGAGCTATAATATTTATGATGCAGCTGAGCAACAAAGCCTAACATTATGAGCAGGGATAATCCCCATGTTCGCCTTCCTTGAAACCTGGCCATTTTCTCCATATATAATCAGTGTTTTTTACATTTCGGCTGAGCAGGGTTGTGCCTTAGTAGTAGCTATGCATGCTTTGATGTTTTGACAAACACCATCGCTCCTGCAGGAGTGAGAGCGCTCGAAATTTACTGAATGTCATTTATTCAGGGGGCAGAACTGCTGAAACTCAACCGCACCGAGGGGAAACGAACCTGCAATCAGAGTGTAGACTGCGTATGCAGTCAACTCTCGTCAATTCTAAAGCTACGGAGGCTCGCTCAACTTCGACAGCGCAACTGAGTAATTGAGACTAACCGGTCGTGCACTATCATAGCCTGTACGAGCAACAAGCCGAGTTCTTATGCTCGAAGCTCACGTAGCAAGCTTCGCCTGTGAGAAGGGGAAGCATGGTGCACATACGCACAAAACTGTTCATTGACGAGCTGGGCGAAAACCCTTGAGGCGGTGTGGCAAGCGCACTTACCGTCATTGTATGGTAGTAAGGATGAGCGTCCTAACGGCTGCTTCGCCCTATTACCCAAAATGTGAGCTCCAACTTTGACAAGGAGGCGCACTGGAGGTAGACATTCTACTGCGAATCACATATGCTATAACAGTGCACCATCCACCAGTCTCATTCGATCTTGCTTTCCGAGTTGAGCAAGCCGTCTGTACGGGTGGAACTTATGGACAAACTGTACACTCATCTCCGCGGATCCCGATCATTGCTATGTGCGAGGTGAACAGGTCCGCAGCTGCAATAGTATGCCACTTTCATGGCCCATGAGGGCACGGAAATCGGTCCAAGGATAGTGGTGCCCGCATGACGTCACCCGACTGCGTCCGCAGGGCAGTCGTCTAACTGTAGCCAGACGCGCTACCTGTCTGCTGCCTGTCGCTTCTGGCTGTTCTTTATCCTTGGCTACCCGATTTTGATATCGCCAAACTAGCTCCTTGAGGACAGCTCCAGCCGAGTCGGGAGAGGGAACTCGGGTTTCTCTACCCTCTGCCCTGTTTCCGCTACCTTTGAGAGGACGAAATGGCAAGCTAGTGCAGCCGCAATTCCATTCACCACGCTCATAGAAAGGACCCCTTCACAGGTAATCGCCCAGTTTGGGGAGTTTCCCTTCATTAGAGCTTCGCCAGTTTCCTGGTTTTTGGTGTCAAATGCAGCTTATTGAAGAAAGACGGCCGTGTGAATGTAGATGACATTTCGAATTGCTCCCAGCCCTTCAAGAACGGCGGTACTGCTGGAATGCTAGGCCTGCTGAACACCCCCTTATGAAATGAAAAGGATCTGTTCAACAGGGTACGGAAGGCATCAACCTTCAAGCAAGGCTGATTAGGCTAATTTGAGCGCAGAATCCACGGTCACTTATAAATATGTATGTAAGCGTTTCGTAGGAAGAGGTAGTGTGAACCGCAAGGAAACCTTGTACAAGTTCGACGTCAGAAAGTGGTCAGATGGCGGTGGAAGGCACAAGGTCGCTTGAATAACTTCGCGTGCTTTGGCAGATGTCCTTTATGCTGTCTTGGCCTGTTGCATGCTCCCCTTGCTGCTTTTTCTGGCTTTCTGCCCTACATCCTGCATCAATATGCATTTCGCATGGCACATGTAGGGCCTTATTTCCAGCGTGTTTGACCGTTTCCTCTCATTCTGTTCACGGGCAAGTCAGATAGCACGTACGCTTCTGTTCCTAACCGTGCTATCTAGATGCTTGTCGCTGGCTCCTCGCGGCGTTTGCCTATGGATTTCCGGCACTCAGCTTAAAAATCCCTGGAAAGCTCAACTCGTCCCGCCTCTTAACTCGACAATCGTCAGAGCCGATCAGCCTTCCCATTAAGTGCCTAGCTAGATGAAGAATGGTGTTACACTCAGTGACGACCAGACTCTCGAAAACTGGCTCAGTAACACCATCGGGCTCCAGCCAGGCTGTTTTCGGGGAAAAAGCATCAACAAATCGGCTGAGAAGAGAGAACAGACCATGAGTGTCACGAAGTTAAGCACTTCACTGTCTTAAATATTGTTGTGGAATTTCTAGGTTTCCAAGGGCAGGAAAAAGATCGGAAGTCCTTACTATCAGTCTCACACCTGGGTAGGCGTAGTGGTTAACTCAGTGATAAGAAAATAACTCACCGAATCGTAACGCATCTTGATTCTTGTACGTTTGATTACTCGTTCCGTTTGCGGTACAACATTGATCGTACGTCTGACCAGCCGGACTCTAGGCTGCATTTCATATGTGATTTTACGGGTCATGATTCCGTCTTGAGGGACGTCCATGGAGAACTGCTCATTCGTTGGACCCGTCTGGATGTTCTGTTCTAATTCAGTCACTTCTTGTTTCTGCACCATTTCGACGCCATCGACACCTTGTTTCTGCACCATTTCGACGCCATCGACACCTTGTTTCTGCACCATTTCCACGCCATCGACACCCTCGAGAGGTTCCTGACCACGTTTGAACCTTGTTCGGTGTAAATGGGTATGGCTGTACGAAGCTGGTATTCTTTTCAAGGGCACAGGGCGATGCCTGTGCAAAGCCCTTAACCTGTGTTCGTCAGGTATCCGGGCTTCGATCTGAAACACGTTCTATGAGTGCTACACGAAAGGACCAAATGGAACAGCATCTTTGGCGCTATTGATCATTACAACCCCAAAATCTTGAAAATATCTCTGCTTTGCTCTGATTTTCCCTAATTTGCCCTCCTACAGGGGTAGTTTGACCTTCCGAGTATTGCACCCGGTAGTCGCGAAATCACCTGGCGCCCGAGCAACAAGCGCCGGAGCCAAAATATATCCAATTCATTGAATTCGCTGAAAGCTTACCCCAAGTGGTGGGTTGAGGTGGTTGAGGGTGAGGGTGCAAAGGAGACAGTGATTTGATTCCTCCCTCTTCTAATGGCCTGCTGGAAAATTACATTTGCGTTTAGTGCTCTGAGAGTTGAAAGTTGAATTAGGGGGGGGTTGAGGGTGAGGGTGCAAAGGAGACAGTGTTTTGATTCCTCCCTCTTCTAATGCTGAGCCCGTGTTTTCTCAAGTGCCTTTGCATACCGCGTGGAGCGAAACCGCATGGAGCTGGCGCTACACGCGCAGGAGTGAAAACAAATGCTTGGTGCCAGCGCCTCAGGCGAATGGACTAGGCGAAAGTGATGTTCGTGGTCAGGGGCGGTTAGCTGACCTAGAGGCAAGTTTCTAGCGAATTCGGTGACACAGGGTAATTTTGCTTCGGCGCCAGACGTTTTCGGGTCAAGCGGGTATAACATTCCTGGCCAGAGGCGGAACCAACGGACGAGTGGTTTGCAAGTTTCTAGCGGAAAAAAGTCGCTAAAAAATTGATTTCGAAAGATTGGGGCAGCAGAGTGTAAGTAGCGCTTGAATATTTTTAATGCTCCAGGAATTGTTTGAAAAAGAAAAGGAGAATATGAAAGCTAGGGGGAATACCTGTGCGATGACAAGTAGCAGGAGAAACGCCAGCGAACAGAACTTCATTTTCATCTCCACTATCAAATCGTTTTAAAACTGTCAGTAGCTTTTATAAGCGAAATACTGCTCAAATGATTTTCGCACGAAAAGCCATTCGAGGTCCCTTAAATGGCAAGGGATTCAATGTTCATAACATACATAAAAACATTTTATATGCCTTTCATCTCCCTCCGTTTGGGAATTGTAGATGCAGCAGACCGGCGCGCGTGTATCGGCCACCGAGGGGAGTGGGGGGCATTTTATACTTCCACTGCTTCACATGCTCCGGTTTACAAGTCTCATTCTGGTGGAACCTATAAGCTCCTATTAAGCTAGAACAAGCTTGTCGAGCTAACAGAGGGATACCATGTTGATAGACCAACTCACTGCTATTATGTGTCCAGTGGACAAGGGGGGGGGGAGGATGGACAGGAAAAGGAAGGTCCTGTAGACATGAAAAGGGTTGACCTGACATATCAGAGATTCTGACTATATAATCGCTGGTTGTCCACAGCACCTTTCGTATAGCTGAAGCGATACTGAACAGATAGGCTTTAACATATTGCCACTTCGCTGAGGGACACAGCTCCCGCAGCGTAAACTCTTTATCCCTGAGTCAGAGTAGGCGTGGCATTTGAACATGGCACGGAATTGGTTACTCGTGGAATATTCCAGTCTGGGACAACTGTCATCTTGTTCTGTGTTGGACAGAGACACGACAACAATTGTGTCAAGATGAAAATATCTCACCAGAAGCATAGACACCTTCAGGTTAAGTTGAAGCATGCAGCCACGCCTACCCTAAGCATACAGCCACGCCTACCCATATCTCAGGGATTCCGAATATACCTGCTGGCATGATAGCGAGAAGCTGTAGAAAGCACAGCGACCGTGGTGTGCGGTATGGCTGCCACATTCGTACGGGAAAGCAGGAAGAACATCGAGCTAACTCGAGCCTCCAGACAAACTGTACACTCTAATTCGCGGATCATGGTCGTTGCCCGTGTGAGATCCACACCCTATCCACAGTATTTTGCCACTTTCTCCAGACGTGCGCGGGAACGGGGGTCGAGTATAGG